GGACTGGGCGGAGCAAAAAACATTATCAACCGCTATAAAAATAGTATTAAAACACGCAACAGAATAACATCGGAGATCTTCACGTCTAGTTTGGTATGTAATGTAATTGTAATGTAATGTAATGCATATCATGCAAGTCTTTTATTTCGTACAATCTCATCTCAAGCGAGGAGATGAATGATGCGCCGTGAAGAATAGCGCGAGACGTCGGGATGACAGGAAAAGTATAATAATGCGTGTGCTCGGACGGCGGCCGCGCGAGATAAGAGCGTGTAGTCGCAGCCCGGCAACGGTATCACAATGAGCCGGGGAATTTGTTAATTTGACAAGATTGATTAACAGCACGTCTTGCTCAACACGCCGCGCCGCAGAAGAGATCAAGAGGTTCGCGTGTTAGAAAGTGCCCGCCGCATCATTCGATCATTTAGTAATCAACGCGGATGCATGCACGTACATAAAATAAAATATTCATAAAATAAAAAGTGAAAAATAAAAGATAAATAAAAACAACGCTGTGTGAAATCTACTTGTTCTTTTGTTAGGAATTGCGATGGTTTTATAACAACGTTGTCTTTGCTGATTTTTGTTAGGTTTTTGATTAGAATATCTTTTTTTGTAAAGAATTTTCCAAAGATTCAGTATTTTCAATCCGTTTTTCTCTATCGCTTTTAGTTTACGAGATATTCGCAATTGAAGAAAATCTGAAAAAATGAAAATTTCCACTTTTTAACAATTTTAAACACGTATTCAGAGCATTTACACCTCGAATTTTAATAATTTTTTTGTTTTATCTTATAGAGAATTTTCCAAACTTTCATCATCTTTGATCGGCTGGTCCCTAGCGTCTTTAGTTTAAAAGATATGTGCTGCCGAAAATTCTCAAAAATGAAGAGTAGCAAAATTTAAAAAAATAATTTAGTTGATTGTAGATTGAAGTTTGTGATCGGAAAGACTCAAACATTCAAAGCGAACTTCGTGATATCGAAAAAGAAGTAGCGGTAATCGAAATACGAGTTTTCTGCGCGTTTAGCGCGCAGACATCGTGTCGTCCGGATTCCCATGGCCCACGAGCGCAATTCGCTCACAATCGCATCGCATAAATTAATCCCAAACACACCGGTTTGTAGCGAAATATAAATTATGTCGTTAATCGCAGCGGTGACCGAATAACATTGACGAAAAAAAACTTCAACCGAATATATTATTGAATTATCAACTTACATTATCACATAATTTAATTTTTATATTCACGAATTTATCAAGAAAATAAAATATGAATAAATCGCGATTTATCTGCTTGTTTTTTTGCTTCTAAGGTTAAGAAATATTTTTATTAGACTCGATAACGATTTAAGTGCTTTGCGCGTTGATGAATCAGGAAGACGTTGAACGTGTGCGAATTCGATCGAATTATATTTCGTTATACGAGCGTTACGCAACACGCAACACACACGTAAAAGTAAGATTATCATCGGATGATAAATATGGTTAAATTAAATTCTAAGCATCTAGCGGTTCATTCAACGCGTTCGCAAAGCCGCTAATTACTTTAATTTTCTTTAATGCGACGATAATTGAATACCCGAAATTAATTTTAGGAGTAAATTAATTTCGAGATAATAAATTACGGCTGCTTAGGTGAAAATAACCTGACAATAACACCGGTATTATATGAATTTCACAAATTTAATTTTTCTTATTGTATTAATTGCGCTAACAGTTAAATGCTTAACCATTAGTATGAATGCTGAATATACTAGGGTCATGTGTACTGAGATGTAGGTATGTTAATTCAAAGTGCCGGTCACGCCACAACCAAAAGAACTAAAAGACGAAGAGACCAAGAATTACCAGTGTGGATGAAGAGATGATGAGCCACACTAGACACATTCAAATGCGGCGGTGAGGAAAAAATCTACGGCTTCTATAATTAAAAACAGTTAGGTAACAAACCCGTTAATAAACGTTCGATAATTACGTCCATCGTAAAATGTCTCTGTAATCAATGCATCTTAAATTACTTTTTGTCGAAATAGACATTTCTTATATAGTGCGTAAATTAGTTTTTTAAGTATCAAATGGGTAAATGGGAGTTTTACTCACGAGATTCATTAAAAGCGACCGTTTAATCATTTCAGTGTTTAACAACGTTTAGCCTCGTGATGCCTACGTTATTTTTTCTACTTCCGTAGGCTACGTAGCTACACCCCGTGACTAAAACCCGTGACTAAAGTGCTTTACTCACTCCCTTATTTAAAGTACTACTTTTAATGTCTCAAAATCATGAAAAATCAGAGGTTTTAAAAGTGAAAGTGAAAAAATGTAATTTTACACACGTATATTTACATTTAATTCCATAATAATAATAATACCTATTATGTACATTAACTACTGTCAGTGGCCGGTAGTAAAAAGACAATTTTACATTCGTATGTCTCAATAGGTATTCAGATTGTAGTGGTGATGATGCGCACTAAATAAAAACTAATTGCGGTTGCGCGGTGCGGCGGACAATAAAATGCGCCGCGATGAAATTGAGAAATAAAGCGGCGTCGTCCCTGCGTTCTTATACTACTACGCTGTATTTGCATGCGCTGGCAAAACATTTGCAATTGCGTTCGGCGCGCACCGCACAAAGTAAAGTTAAGTAAAGTAAAAAAAGATGACGGTAGAAAAGCTGCTGCTGCTCCCCGATGAGCAACACGCCGGTACGCCAGTTTATTCCAGTCCACAATTTCGATTGCATCGCACTGCACCGCCAGGCTTATCATATTCATATGATTATACTAGGAGAAAAAAATTATTTTGTGTTTTAAGGTTTTTTTCGTTTATTTTGATTTAAAAAAATTAATTTTTTGTGTTGTAATGTTAAAAATTCGTTTTTTAATGTTTTTTTAAATGATTTAATTTATTTCCGATACACTTTGTATATTATTAGCCTTGTTGGGTCGGTTTTCATTGCTTGCAATAAGATACGGCTTGTATTTATTCCATCGCGGCGAAGATGTGCGTCGTCGCTGTTTATTTTTATTGCTAAAGTCGGACTTGCGCTGCTTGTTTCTTTCTTTCTTCGTTCGTGATAAGTAGCGTAAGACTCAACTCACTGTGCGCTGCTCCGCCACAGATTCTAATCAAATCGAATTGCTTCTTCGAGTGCTTCGCCTGCGCACCATGCAAAAATAAATAAAGCGCGATAAATGAGTCGACGAAAGCGAAAACGAAGCGCGCATGCCGTGCTTACATACGGTATACAAATCGATGTGCGGGGCTAATCGCGAATGTTGGCGCGTTGGCGGCATTAACTGGATCGGGAGCGACGAGCGAAACAAATCAATGCGAGATAATTAAAAACTGACCGGATCTTTATCGCGAATAATGGTTATTTTCAAATGATTAACATCAAGGGCGGACATAGCCTTCAAATACCGGAGATAATAACCTGTAATATTTATTATCATTGCGTAATTTATTTAAGTAAAAGAAAAAAACATAATTTTCGACTTCCACCTTTTAAGTGCAAGTTTTTCCACGGTTTTGAGACACATAAAGTGGTATTTTAAACATGGACAGCCAAGGCCGTGACTAAAGTACTTTAATCACGGGTTTTAGTCACGGGGTGGATATACCAGTAGTGTACAAGCGAATTTCGAAGATTTTCAATACAAAAGTTCAAATACAAAAACCTCAACGTGGAAATTAAGTGAAAGTAGAAAAAATAGCGTAAACATCATATGGCTAAACGTTATTAAACACTCGATTGGTTAAACGCTGACTACTCGCTCGATTTTAATCAACCTCATGACAAAAACTCGTATTGGTAAATTTTGCGAGCCTACAGAACCGTTTTTATCAAATTTTGTTTATTTTCACAATGTCAACACTGTAATTCTGGGTATAATAATTAATGCTAAAATTTTTCACACCAAGTCATGTAAACATCAAAATGTTCTTGTTATGACTGGTGCATAACAATGTTGGATCCGTGAGTGGTGGTTTTCCCACTGTTTACATTAATTTTTCTTTGATCTATTATTATTTCTCATTTTTTGTTATTTTTGCGCAAGTTTTCTACAAAAATCCATCAGAGATTTAATTGTATGCCAACATCTATAACATGTGCATGATATCTTAATATTTTCTTTTTTCTTTTCTTTAAAAATATCGAAAAACCTGCTTTTTGTTACATGTTACCATTTTTATTCGCACTGGGTATTTTTCTCATGATTTTGAACCTTCCACGCTGTGTTTACACACGAACTCATGATTTTTGGGTGTTCCCAATGCCCTTTTACCCTGTAAACACAGCCAAACAATAACTTATCTCGCATCTTTCTTCCACTCGAAGAAAAAATACAACTTCCCATCGTAAAACCGAAACAAAGTCAAAAATATTTTCGATTTTGGTTCTTCCTGTGTTCCACAGCACGCACAACGCACTGCTTTTGTCGCCCGTGAGTGCGTGCTGCTTGCGTAGCAGAGGTAAAAGAATAAATTTCCAAACAGGTAGAGCCGTTCGTAGTAGAAGTGTAGTAGAAGACATTGAAGGAAGAGCGGTGGCGCGTACCAGGTAGCCCAGGTAGCTCGCTCTTCATGACCATGAGACCACGATGTCTTCGGCTTAACGTTTAACATACAAGACTGGCAACGTGAAACCTGCCGTGCGGAGGGTTTTACGGCTGTGGACTCGTCCACAACACCACACAAACATACTGCGTAGAAATTTACCCCTCACAAGAAAAAATATCATAAAAATACTATAAATCTCAGTCGAAACAGATCCATACATTGTTTTGCACTGGTTATTACGTAAATATTTAAAATTTTAAAGAACTCTTGGGGTTGTGAAGAACTGGTCTCAAGTTAAGTCAAACGTGCGTTTGAGTTTGCGTCCTGTAATGTTGTTGCGCGCAGCGTGTTTACGTCGATGAAACACGACGTCGCACGAGTCTCACTGGACGCCAACTACGCCTCGTTGCCATTCGTCCACAATCGCCCATTCGTCGACCGTCCGTGCTGCGGGACGTACGTAACCGCGTTCGAAACGTGCCTTGCTATATTTACGTGCCTTCCAAACAGACTTAAAAGCAATCCCGCGTAAAATTTTACCATTTATAACTGATCTAAACAATTTTATAAATAATAGTGCGTATAATTGTGGTGCTGTACGAGAAACAATACTTATAACTGGATAGAATACACTTTTAACTTATAATCAAAGTGTAGTGTGTGTGCTCGAGATCTTAAGCCGACTTAAGAGAGGAGAGACGCGAAGAACTGAGACTCGTTTGGCGTCCTTTGAGATAGTGTGCGCGTACGTGTGTGTATACTTCTATATGTTGGTTGTTGGTTGATCGTTGCACCTGTGGATTCGGTGCAAGGACCGGATCACACACTAGAAACAAGACAAGACCACGAATAGAGAATTATAAGGTACATTTTTACGTATTTTATTCATTTTATCATATTCGACGTTTGTTGATAAACAATTCAGTGCGGAAGACCTCTAAATAACATTCCTGCAATATCTTATCACTGGATATGTTCGAAATGATGCTCTAGTTGGGTATTGTGAGTAATGCAACTACTGCCTACACTAGCGTCCCAATTGTCGTTAATTCGATTTCATTGCGTTAATGCAACGAGATAATTTGACATTTCAATTTCAATTGTGTGTTGAGAATGTTGGGATGCTGTTGATGTGGCGCGCGGTGTCGATCTCGCCCACATTCGTCTATTTGCCTATTATGTTGCATTCGGGAAGCGCGCTATCAGCGGCTACTTGTTTGTTGTGTATTATGCCATCGCTGACCAAATATAATACGTAAATATTGTCTAGTCTGATTGGAATCATGTCGTAATTTCAAAAGTTTATGATTTGTGAGGTCAATTTCAGATTTGCATGATCGCAAAATACCAAAAACAATTGGATTTTTGGCATTTTGGATTGGAAAATATTTAAGTACCCACCGATTACCAAACAAAAATCATGTTTTGTTTATTGTGAAACGGTTTTAACAAACATTTAACCAAAATTTTAAATTTTTTTGAAAAAAATTTCTTTTTTAAGCCCAAAACAATATAAATTTATATTTGAGTATTGGTAAAGTGCATTAGCACCTGTTGCACTCCATGTATCTTCCTATTATAGAGGGTGTTTCGTAATAACTTTCGAAAACCCATTGGACTCATGCATAACAGATAACGGTTGTTTGATTCGCGCTTGCCAGATCTACATATCGCAGTTGCTTGCGTTTCGGCGATTAGACGCAACGCTCATAAAACGATCACTGATTTATTGCATCTGGCACGCTCGTAAGTACCGTTTTCGCCAGCCAGCACTCGCAGGAGAAAGGACCGAACGCGCGCGGACAATCATTACATAATTCACATCACCAATAAACACACCAGAGACAGGAAAATGCATCAATGGAAACTTCACTGTTAGCTTTAACTCAAAGTGTGTTAAGTCTCAAGTGTTAACCGATTGTTGTTTGTATGGAGGTGAAAAATGTTTGTACCTATATGCAACAAGGTACAGTCTGGTGATTTTTTAGTGTTAACCCTTGAATGCTAATCTTTAATTTGTGCATGAAAGTCTTGAGTCTTGAGTCGTGATGTGAAGTGACGATTTGCGCTGCGGCTGCGACTGCAACCGACTTATAAAAGCGTGTTCGAATAACGGAAGCCTGAAACGAAAGACTTTCTTGCTGCTTTACCACAGCCTCGGGATATAATAATAAATAATGAATATATGTCGAATGCAACGGTATACATGCTATATATGCTTGTTTAATGTGAAATTACCAAAGAAAATTTCGTCGCTTAAATGAAGAAAATTTCACGAATTGTTTTCATAGGTATTTGTTAGTCCACCCAAAAAGACTAATTTACGATTTGATTTAATTACGCGTAGCGTAATTAAGTCGCACCTTTTACAGCAATATAAAATAATATTAGATAATACGGTGCCATGCAATTATCGTTTTCGGTCTTCTGTTGGCTTGTTTGTGTAGTCATCGTGTTTGTTCTTCAACTGTACTTTTAATAACGTGAATGGTCAATGGCGGAAGCAAAAAATAGTCGTGAATGGACGCGAAGAATACTTGCGCACTGAATATGAATACAATAAACAAACGAAATAGTTAAATAAACGTTTGATATGTTTAGTCGCTTGGTGGAATTCATGCTTCAAATTGTTTGCTAATGCTAACAATTTTATTGTGTGCTCAACGTGAGTGCTTTTCAGAGAATTTATAATAATATGTAATGAATATTGTCAATATTAAATAGAAGATTTGAGTCATTCATTGATGGGATTATAGGAAAACTGGTTAGACGGTGTTTAAGATGCAAATGATACCGGTATTTTTTAAAGTTCATTATAACTTTTGATTGGTTGTTTTGTTTTCAGTGAAATTTTCATATAATGCTCTTCATGTCAAATATTTTATATAAATTAAGTGAAATAGTATAAAACTGAATTAAAATGGTTTTTATTAAGAAATTTAAAAATACCGGTATTTTTTTACGTCAAAAAGTGAATTATTTTCATTTTTCTTATTTGGACAACAATGAAAGCACAAAATATCAAATTAACCTGAAAATAAATTGCGAAGGTGTTTAGATGCATAGAACATTCACTAAATCACCCATTTAAGAATAATATATAGCGTTCGTGCGTTAAGAATTTTAGAAATAGCCCAACAGAGCGCTTCCACTGCGATTTATTTTAATTTCGCTCATTTGTCCATTTTCGTACTGAGAGACTGAGAATCAACGGTTAACTGCATTACGTTTACTGTACTCGTACTACAATGCTTCCTCTTTAAGCGTGTGCTATATTAGTCTGTCATAATAATGACGGTGAGTGTGTGGATCTCTTTGGAGGTCCAACCCAAAATTATCGAAATTAACAAATCTCCAGCTGCGACCGACTTTTTTCTTCAACTCTTTTATTACACGCAGCTTCTCATCAGGGAGTGCTTAGTAAGTGCTTAGACAAATAAAGCAACACACAACAACAGACAACTTATAGTAAACATAGTAAACACACCAACTAAACACGTTAAACATTAATTTTGTATTTACGAGTCAACAATGCCGTCAACTTTGAAAATTTCCACGGTGTTTATTTATGTTCGACTAATTTAACTCATTAATTTTTGTTCGAAAAAAACTACCTGTGTAAATTGTGCACGCCCATGAAACTGCTTTGGTAAACTTTCGAAAATTAGTGCTTTGGTAATGGGACATAATAAATAACGAATTAGGGAAAGTCGATAAACGTGTATTAATTGTGTATAGTTGACTTTTATAAATATTACTATTACTGGGAGCAGTCATAAGTTACAAGACTTAAGTTAAGTCACTATGTAGTAACAATTGTACAGGTACTACTTATATATGTAGTATGATGTAACTTGCCGTAGGCTAAGTTCATCTTCATCGACTATAGTAATCTCAAGATCTATATAAACCTGTAACAATCACATCCTTATACTTGGAAATCATTTCAATCTGAATCTAAACGGAGAAGAGATGAGATGAAATTTAAAAGTCACAAACATCGGGAGTGTTTTCGCCTTCGTTTACTCTTCATTGTTGACTTGATGATGCATAAGGTAAATGTCATCCATGATAGGAGTATTCTAACGATGCACGTGGGATGCTACACCATGGACTACTTTTATGGTGTTTCGTTGGAGTCATCGTCAATGTAATGAAATAATTCCCGGGTTACTGTTAAACGTAGGTACTGTTAGCTGGTTTGGGGCAATTAAAAATTTAAAAATTAATGTACCGCTCAGTTGGGACCTGATGGAAGTAGGTTAACGTTTACTTTAGTTTAGAACGTTGAGTGCAACTCACCAGATCCAGACAGATCGCCAGACGGATGGACTTTAGTTTATTTATAAATTCAAGAATTTTTGGCACGCTATGTTGGGTACAGTTTAATTAAAATCAAAATGTAGGCATTTCCGTTCAGGAATAGTCAAAATACTACGGTGGAAAATATTTTTTTAAATAATAACCGGTATAAATACCGGTATTTTTGAAAATTAGCCATAACTTTGGATTGAGTGTGTAAATTTGGATGAAAATTTTACTGTGATTGTTTTTGTATCAAGCAAACATAAAAAAATAGTTTTGTGGAAAATATTTTTAAATTACAACCGGTAAAAATACCGGTATTTTTTAAGATCGCTCATAACTTTTAATCGGCTGTGTAAATTTTGACGAAAATTTCATTACTTATAAATGAACTCAAAATGTATCGATTTCCGCAGAAGAAAATTCAAAATCCTATGGCGGAACACATTTTTTTTTAAGAATAACCGATAAAAATACCGGTATATTTTTAAATCGCTCATAACTTTTGATTGAATGTGTATATTTCAATGAAAATTTCTCGATGTGATTGTTTTGGAAACAAGCAAAGACCCAAAGGTGCCATAAACGTTTTATTAATATCGTTGGTTTATTTAAATTTAAATCCGCGCTCGCTGCAGGCGGCGGTGACGACGAGTGCGTCTGCAAGCAATGCGTCAAAAGCTCTCTCTACATGTCCTGCGCGAGATACTTTACGAACCGACCAACACACAGCACAACGGCCAAGTGCGTTGTTCTAAATTTATAGCACTCGACGAAGAAACACAGTAGATGTGAAATTTACGGTTTATTTGCCTACACATAATGCACGTCGCAACGAACGTCGCGCCGTTATTTCCAACCAACGTAATTTGATTTCTGTTTTCATTAAGACTCGCAAGGCCAGAATTAGAACCGTGCGCGGTGCCTGCGTCAATCACATATTCTTAGTGGTTATATTTAGGAATAAAACCAATCGGGAAATTTCGCACAATGAGCATTGTTCCAACTTTCATCTTTGGGTTTATTTTGAAGTCTATTTTTGGTGTTGGAAATTTTCTGCGTTTGGTGCTTTTTGAAGAGGAAATTAACAACTTTCCAATGTTTAGTTAAGCCGAGATTTCTTAGAACACACGCGCAGGAAGAAAGTTGATCGCTGCGCTCCAGATTCAACGTTTATTTTCGCCTGGTTTGTGTATATACATATCATTTTGTTTATAAAATAGATTCGCGTGATAATTGAAGTATAGAAGACGACGTTGTGAGCGAGGCGTGATTTGTTTATGGTCTGCTCTCAATTTTCAGCTTTTTATGAGTGGCTACCAGCATGCAAGCAACTGGTTTCATTAATACTCTAATTAATAATCATTCGATTCAGTTTATTTCAATCGATTGATTTAAATTGATATTTATTTGATCAAAATCACAACGAAAAAAACATTTATTTCCGTGTTTTGATCTTCTATTGTTTGAGATCTTTTGTTTTCTGCTTCATATTCCGCTTGAGCATCTGCCATAATATTATCTATAATAATATGCGTACAATGGAATATTCGGACGCG